TCAATCTGTAAAATCCAAATAATTGCGAATAGTTGCGTTGCAACGCGTATGACGATTATGGTCAAACTCTAACTTGTCGGAATTAGGTATGAACAAATTAAATTTAACGATCACGAACTGAATTTGATGTAGGACTACTTGGTGAAGCGGATGGTTACAGTGGGGTGAAACCATGCCCATATGTGGCGGAAAGCACACGTTCATTTTTACCTTTTCAAAATAAATGAACACACCTACTGGTTCTCTGCCATTTTTGCAGTTACTTTTCTTTTTAGGATTTTTTTTAAAATCAAGTGTATTTTACACTCACATGTCTTTTATACTTTGTTGGTGCATTTTGCACCCTTTGNTTATTCATTGATTGATCAAGAAAAAAAACAAGCAGAAGAATCTATATTGAAAATAATTAGCTCATGTCACTTTTCATCACATTATCCAGTTATGTGATTGGCTCCAAATGAGGAATCTGACAATTTGTGCACATAATCAGAGGTACAGAGGTAAAGAGATCACAAAAAAAGAAGGCTTGGAATAACAACTACTCTGGTTGTAAAGTCCCGTAGACCGTCCATTGACGTGTTGTGATATTGAATGTCACATTTTTTGCACTGACCAGCTTCCCTTCTGTGTCCCATGTATATTATGCACATTGACATCTAATGCGGGGAGAGCCGTGTCCTTGTTGATCACTGAAGGGTGACCATGAGAGAGGAGTCAGCTCAGGCAGGAGGAGCCTTCGGCCGACAAGAACAGCAAAGCAGAGAAAGAGGAAGGTGTAAAAAAAGAAACACCGGACCGATTGTTCACACACTGATACTGAGGTCTCCCCAAATATCAGCATGTGTAAGCACGCATGTACGTGTGTGTGTTTAAATGCTTGACAGATGAGCTGGGTTTAGTCTGGCGGGCAGAAAGCTGCTCCAAAGATCTTTGCCGGTCCTGAACAAATTTCTCCCCGAGCCGAGGTCTTGAAACTCGAAGACAAAAACCCTCTGGTTTTCCAAAAGAATTGTGCTGCTAGGTATGCTGCCCTAGCCTCGCGCCTGCTACGCCACATAAATCTACGGCTAGAGGCTCAGCCGCATCAGATTAACAGGCCGAATTTCTTCAAGTTCTTTTACTCATGTGGCCTCTAATATAGGGCATCCACAGACAAATATCTATGTCTATTGTTCATAAAGTCCCTCTGTCCATATTGTTAGATAGGACTTGGCCATACTATCACACCCATACTTTCTGCCTGAAATGTACTATATGAAACGTCTGCCACTAGAGGGTCTCTAAATCATAATAACAAAAGGCTTAGTTTGATGAAGCAGATTGGGATCATGAGAGCGCGAATCATGTTCCCACGAGATAATGTGATTCAGTTTTATTCACGTTTCCCCGCAAATGTCAATGAATAATTGTGATCCATTACAAGGGACCAATACAAACAGCCAACTGGCTAACTGGGCAGCAGTGGGTTTTTCCTTCCTCAAACCTTGAATTAAATTGAGAATCTCTGGGTTTGAACATCGTTGAAAATACTTTGGATAATGTGAGTACACAAGTCAACACAATATATAACATGTTTTAGACATTTTAAGGAAGAATTATTGCATATTATTTATTTAACGTGATAAAAAGAATCATTCAAATAGTTAAACTGGCATTTAAATGAGTTAAAATCCTGAAAATTATTGAATGTTTGGTAGTTTTGAGAAAGTCTGAAGTTGCTTAGGAGATTTATGAAAAAAAAGTAGAAAAAAATATTGATGTATGAGGATTTTATAGTGTTTTGGTTGTTGTTTGGACATGTACATTTTTGGGTACAAAAGGGAGTAAATTTGATGAGGGCACAAGGGTTAAGTTCTTTTAATCTTCACTCAAGTATATTTTTGAGCCAGTAATTTACATTAGCCGTTCATCCCAGCTGACGCTGCTGCTCGGGTCTCTAGCCTGCTCCCATTACGGCGGACTGTGCCTCCACCTGTCAGGGATAACCTATAAAGACAGGTTAACATTAATGAAATTAAAAATAGCATTTTTTTCTGACATTCTTGTTTTAATGATACCCATTCCTTTGTTTATTATGCTAAGATGCAAAGACATTCCAACTGATTTTCAAAATTTTGCATGGTTATGTCCAAAGATAACATTTCTAGGCAAGCTGTAGTCCCAGCAAAGCGTTCAGGGATTTTTCTTCTACCCCTCGGTTTTGAGGCAGTATCTGAAAAACTAAGTCCCAATTTACATTGCCTTTCCAAGATGGAAACATTACTCTAAATGTCTGCCCCATCATCTGTATCTGGCCCAGAGGTGTGAGGAGAGCACAGAATTGATCTGGCTCTGAGGTAATATCAGAGGCAGAAAGTGTGTGAACGGAGTCCAGCTGCTCCGTAAACTAAGACCAGAGGATGAATAGAGGCTGATGGTGCTGTTCACACACCTGGCATGCGTATCTGTGAGCCTTTAAGTTTACTAAGGGCTGACTCACTATGTAAAAGCAGACACTGAGGAAGTACTTCTCAAGTCTTGTTTTTTGTGTGTAAATCAAACAAGGCTTATAGGTAGACTTTCTTTTCTTTCTTTACACAGTCATGCAAATTCTGTCTGAAAGGGGCTTCATATTCCTTATAGGCTTCAATTGTGGGGCCCATATCATTAAAACCAATAGAGTGGGTCCCATAGAGTGTTTCCCACTCACATACCATGCCCACTTAGCCCACTTATATGCCATATAGGGCCCATGTCCATGTTACCCAGTTCTAGCCCAGACTCACTTAGCCCACATATATACTTTATGGGGCCCATTTAGCCAGCCTGCGTGGGCTCCTCATGTGGCACCCATATAACTAAAACCAAATGTGTCCCACAGAGTGTTTCCCAGTCCCATACCATGCCCACTTAGCCCACTTATATGCCATATAGGGCCCATGTCCATGTTACCCAGTTCTAGCCCAGACTCACCTAGCCCACATATATACTTTATGGGGCCCATTTAGCCAGCCTGCATGGGCTCCTCATGTAGGGCCCATGTTTCTGAAAAAATATGGGGCCCTTAAAATTTGCCCTGTTTATGCCCATGCCCACTTAGCCCACTAACATCCCTTATGGGGCTCATACAGCCAGCCCACATGGGCTTCACATGTGGGGCCCATGTAAGTAAAACCACATGGGACCTCCAAAATTTGCCCAGTTCAAGCCCATGCCCACTCAGTACCCACATAGCCCGTATTTAACCCTTGTGGGGCCCACATGGACATGCTGGCTGGGGTAGCCGGTCTACGATGTTTCATTGAGCATTGTTATTGTTGTTGTACGTCACTTTCATTCTCCATGGAACGGCATGGTCTTGTTGTCTACAGATCTACAAGGCATCACTACGTCGCTTTGCAACGCTTTGTTCACTTGTAGATTAGTTGTTTGTTTGGCGCATGGCAGTGACGTCATGCCAAAGCGCAACCCGAATTTGATAGAGAGAGATTATGGTGGTTTACAGACAGACACACACACACATTTTGCTTAAATAAAGCAATGTTTTTCTTCTAAGAATGATACTTGTCTGTTTTGTTGGTTATTTCATGGCCCCTAGTACCAAAAAAAATCTTTAAAAAAATAAAATACAGTCACCGTGAAATACCGTGGTATACTGTACTAACACCGTCACCATACCGTACTGTAAAATCCCATACCGTTAAGCCTAGTTTATGCTTCTGCTTCGCGTGGACGCCGTACCGACGCCGTACCTACACCGTACCTACACCGTACCTACGCCGTACCTACGCCTCCCAAAAATCCTAACTACGCGCCACGTCGACGCGGACCGCAAGCGCTGTGATTGGTCCGCTCAGAACGTAATTTCCGGGATTTGCTTTTTCCGGCCTTTCTTCCTACACCGCCATTTTTAAAGTTCTTGTGTACCGATAGCAGCAATGGACCAGCTGGAGGAACGTCTTATCGAGGAGGTCAGGAAGTACGACCACATCTACAATACTWCCTCAAAGAACTACAAAGACTGCCAAATGGCAAACAATTCGTGGCGAGAAATCGCCCAAAACACGGGGTTGGAGGTCGCGGAGTGCACGAAGAGATGGAAGAACCTCCAGGACAAATTTGTCCGGCTGCGCAAAAAACCAGGCGGCCAAAAAGTCCCAGCATTTTATCATTTTTTATCGTGGCTGGCACCACACATCAAGCACCGCGAAACGGAGTCAAACTACAAGGCAAAGTTATGTGTTTTCTGTTACTACTGCTACATCATCAGTTATGTGTGTGCTTATGTGTAACGTAAAACCTTAACAACATGTAATATTGGCTACTGGTTGTAAACAAACACATAGACTAATCAAGCATCTACTCTTTCATTAAAAACAAACGTCGTGCAGTTCATCGGAAAGCGACAAGGCCTCTGCATCGCCCACCGAGCCCCCCCGGTCTACCACACCGGATTTACCAGCTCCCCCTGCAACTCCCAGCAAGCCACCAGCTTTTGCCACAATGGAGTCCCCGGTGTCTAGGCCCAAAAGAAAGAGGGACCAGCAGGACGACCTTGCAAAGCAGATGGCCAGCCTAGAAGGCCGTAGGCTAGAGCTTCAGCAGCAGCTGCATGGGGCTGATGAGTGCTCCAGGTTCGGGCAAACGGTGGCCGACTTGCTCCGGAGGGTGCCAGATGACCGGAGACCTGATGTTATGTTCAGCGTCTACGGCCTGATACACAACAACAGACAGTGAAGGAGCCCACACCCGTGAACTTTTTATTGCATATAGTTTTTTTGTAAATATTTGAAGTGTGTGTTGTATTTTTTTTGGGTGCACTTTGTCCTGATTTTTTTTTAAACTATACTTTTTTATATATATATATATATATGCATATATATATATGTATATATATATTTATACTATTTATATGGCAATAAAGCACACAGGTTTGTTTTCAAACAGTTGTTTTGATATTTATTTCAGCACACACTGCACAGCACAAGCACAGTTTACACACAACGTATAGCTCACAAACATCACTTATTGAGTGTGCCCCRGGACACCATCTCRTTTTGCCATGGCACGGTTCCTTGAGGTGACTGAAAGAAAGCCATCAGGTCACTCCGAATAGCCAATGCCGCTCTGGTGGAGCGGGCCCTGGACATCAGTGTGGGATCCACAGATTCGACGAAGTTCGGGTCATTGGCCACCACTTTTCTCCACTCGCCAGGCTGCACTGATCCACAACTGTCGGTGTCCACAAAATGCGGCGGGATGTATCTGCTGTCTGGGGGGCTCACCTCATCTGTGTAGGTGAGGTAATTGTGTAGGACCACGCAGGCTTTGACGACATCCACAGCTTTTTCAGGCCGAAACTCTATTGGTCTCCCAAGAATTCGCCACCGTGCAGCCATGATGCTGAATGTATTTTCAATTACCCGCCTGGCCCTGGAGTGGCGGTAGTTGTAGACCTGCTTGTCCATGTTCATGCCTACTCCTGTATAGGAAGTCATAACGTACTGTTTAACGTCAATGGTATATACATATAACACATTATTAGAGCTGCATATATATAGGTAGATAACTAGATATGTGTATGTAATAATACTTGCCTGGGAAGGGACGCATCAAGTTGCAGTGCAGGGGAAAGGCAGCATCAGCAACGATGACATGGGGGATCTGGACTCCAGTTCCTGGAAGTTCAGCTGGTGGGGGCAGGTTGAGCTTGTGGCCGAGCAGCATCGACCCAAACTTGCTCTCTTTGAAAATGCCACCATYGCTCTCTCTTCCATATCCTCCCACGTCCACCATTGTGAAATTGTATCTGTAAAGGACATCAATGCATCAACGTTATCATTAATGTTTTTTACTGTGGATTTGTACACAGGCATTACATGGACCCATAGATCAAACATGTTTTAAATTATTTTGCTCGATAGGAATTACCTGGAATCGCATGTTGCCATCAGCACAATGGAGTGAGCCCCTTTGTAGTTGAAGTAGTCGCTCCCTGCTTTTGGCGGCGCTTTTATGGTAACGTGTTTACCATCGAGACTTCCAACGCAGTTTGGGAAGTTCCACAGCCGCCAGTAATCTGCTGCCATGGCTTCCCATTGTTTGGTTGAAGGACATGGCAAAAACTCGGGCTGAAGCGCTGTCCACAATGCTTTGCAGACCTCCGACAAAATGATGGACACAGTGCTCGACGCCAGTTTGTAGCTAGCCGCCACAGCTTGCTGGCTTCCACCCGAGGCTAAAATTCTCAGCGTCACTGCCAGTCTCTGGGCGACATCAACAGGCATGCTGTGCTTTGTCTGGTGCATTATTAATGGCTGTATACGGCGAAGAAGCTCGTCAAATCGCCCCGTTGACATTCGAAAGTATCGAAAGTGCATTTGTTCATCCAGGTCCCTCAGTGGGTGAACMAGTGTTGTAAATTCACCCGTTTCCAGCCTTGACCGGTTTAGTGGTCGCACGGACCACCTCCGCAAACGTCTTCTCTGTCGCCTGCGCCTCATCATTCGCAATATAAGCATTTGTTGTTCAATATTGATGAGCTCCAACTCCAAATACACCCGCTCCACACCGGTCGCCATTGTTTACTGTTGTTTACTATGACTGGAAGACAAAGCAAGCATTCGGCTATAACCCCTGGAACCACACAAACACACAGCCCTAGCGGCATGGCGGTGAATTGCAGAGCAACGCGTTCCCTCGACGCAGAACTTCGAATGCTCAACGACTGCGTCACGTCGACGCCGTASCTACGSCGTCGACGTGACGCAGAAGCATAAACTAGGCTTTACATCCCTAGTTGACACTGTGGGTGCATCACTTTGCAGAAGGAGTGTTTGTATCATCCTTCCATAGACCCTCTGCCTCTCCTTGTTTTCCTCCAGGAGCGTCAGGACGCGTTCAAACATGCCATCTCTATGTGCACAGTTGATGGGGGTTGTGATGTGTGGTAGCCACTGAAGGTGTTGACAGCAGAGGTGGCCTGACAAAGGGACAGGAGTTGAGCGAAGGAGTAGACGGTGTGTTCCCTATAACAGGAGGACGTGAGGAGGACCCACTGGAGGATGGTTGTGTAGCACTGTCCGATTCCTCCTCAGAACTGGACAGAACCCTTTGCCTTGAAATGCCTTGAAATGGACAAAAGATGGTGTATTATTAAGATTAGTAAAGTGTTAACATATTTGATTTACTGATTAATACTGTAAACCAACGCTTCTAACTGGAACAAATTAACGTTTACTTATGCTCTCCCAAAAACTATTTCCATCTACCTGGCTGTGTGGTTTGTAAACAATCTGATTTTATGAAAGCAGTTTAAACAGTTCAGCACCATTGTGTCAAAAACTTAAAAACAAATGTTGTGCACTGCTCCACGTGGCATCAAAATAATGTTATTATTAATGACTTTGGCTCACACGGAGCACCAAAAATGTTATTATGTACTTTCCCTCGCGCGGGGTACGATTATGTACTTTCCTTCACGCGGGGCACCATTAAATGGTGTGCTTTTGGGCATTCAGTAAATGTGGCTATCAGAGAAATCTTAATATTAAAAATCTTAGTAAATAATAATTAAACTAATAAAAGATAAATCGGGGCACGACCCTTCAAAGGAAGGGAAAGGATAGCCAATTTATTGAATAAGTCTCATTAAATTACTGACTACAAATTTGGAACTCTGATTAATAATTACATAAATAACTATAACCAAAATTACCACATCAATAGCTAGCAAAGTTGAAGGATATGGA